ATGGTGATATGGTGAGATGAGTTGTTTAATGTGAGATAGCCATTCTACGCCGTTAGATTAGAATTAATGGTTAGATTTAAACTAATAGTAATTAGATATATGGTGAGATGGTGAGATGAGTTGTTTAATGTGAGATAGCCATTCTACGCCGTTAGATTAGAATTAATGGTTAGATTTAAACTAATAGAATAATTAGATAAAGATATTTGACCTCTACATTTATTTGATTTCTCTGCCAAATCTTCTCTAACCCTAACCCTAACCCGAGCCCAAACCCTGACCAGAACTCTAACCCAACCTGAACCCGAACCCACACCCTAACCCTAACCGGAACCTAGACCCATTAACCCTAAACCTAACCCTAACCTTAAATTGAACCCAAACTCACGGAACCTAAACCTAACCCGAACCTCAAACCTAAATCCAAACCTGTACCCGAATCCGCTAACCCTAACCTTAACTAGTGGGAAAATCTTTGAGAAGATTTAGTAGGAAAATCAAATAATTGTGTGGGCCACATATCTTTAATTAGTTAATCCTTTTATTTTAAATCTAACCATTAATTTGAATCTAAGGTGTAGAATGTCCATCTCACGTTAAGCAAACCATCTCACTATCTCATCCTATCGCTTTTCTACACACACATACATACTAACAATATGCAAAATACATGTAGGCGTTTGAAGAGGGGGAGTTACCAAAATTATGGCTTTCATATTGTCTCTGGTTAAAGAAATGCCAGCCATGCCATCCTTCTCATTTAGCGAGAGCAACACATCCACAAAGTTGCTTTCCTCTCCATCATTGCTTGAACTAACCTTATAATGCTTATGTTCATCTATCACTCTTTCAAGAAACCCGTCAAATTCTCTAGAGCACTTTCTTACTCTTGCATCAAGGCCACTCAATATATCAAGCCAGCCAAGCCAAGGGATGAAATCTCTAACAGGAAATGATCCCGCCAATCTAAGTAACTCCTTCAGCATCTCACCAAAATTATACCCTTCTCCTTCCTCTCCTAAATATTTCCTTCCTATGGCCACTCTACATACAATATTATTGGTAAGATTAACAATCATCTCACTCAAATTCACCGAGCCATTGCAAGATGCACGGGTTTTCTCGACTATAAGACATACCTCTTCTTCCCTCACTAATCGAAACGACTGGATCCTCTTGTGACTCAACAGATGAACAACACTTATCCTTCGAAGTTGCCTCCAATACTCACTGTAGGGTGAAAAGGCAATATCACTACCATAGAGAAGCCTTTTGGCCATGCTTGAAGGTGGTCTACTTGCACAAATTTGATCGTGCGTTTTCATTATCTCGCCAGCCATCTCTGCTGATGATACCGGTGGTCTACTTGCACAAATTTGATCGTGCGTTTTCATTATCTCGCCAGCCATCTCTGCTGATGATACCACAATGGCGGCATTTCCGCCGAAGTGCAGAAGCATTACTGGCCCATACTTCTCTGAGAGAGATTGCAAGGAACGATGAGCTAGCGAGCCTAGTTGGTGGAGGTTGCCTATGATAGGCAATCTCGGTGGAGAAGGAGGCAAATTCAACACATCTTTCTTCTTGAAGAGCTTGAAGAAGAAGAGGAAGAAGGTTAACATGACGGCCATTGCTGCGATGCAAAAACTACAGTCTTCATCACGCAGCAATTAGTATAACGTCTGTGCGCCGCTCTAATTAGTTTGGATACGCTTTTAAGAACGATTGGTGGTGGTTGCAAATTTGGATCTTTCAAGATGACTTTTGTGTCACTAAGTTAGGCACCCATGGCCATCTATATTAAGATAAGAAGAAGAGAATATTATCTCATCCTCAAAGTTCTAGTGTAGATTATTTATGATTGGTCCGAGGAGATATTTTCTCGGATGCGAAGGATGTTGAAAATGACAACAATGGGAATTGGAGATAGACGATTACCCAAAACTCTACACTTCATCGAAGTACACTGTTTATAAACAATTTCAACCTAGTGCAAGTCTCTCTCCATTCTTTTACTGATTAATGCTTCGAGACACTTCTCACCTTTATTTATAGCCTTTTTGAGGAATTTTTTTGATTGATTGATTTTTAGGAACCTAGTAACATAAATGTAGAAATGGCGAAAACGTCGACGAAGAACCGGAAAAACCAAGCATGGAACAGTTTGGAGGTTTCTCGGTCGACCGCGGCAACATGTGCGGTTGACCGGAAACATGTACGCTACAGGGTAGGTTCTGGAGTTCTGGTCGGTCGACCGCGAGGTTAGGTCCGGTCGACCGTGAACCCTGTAAGAGCTTTTTGGTTTCTGTCGTTGCATGCGGTCGACTGCGACGAAAGCTGCGGTCGACTGCCAGTCGGGTATTGAGTTGGGTTTGGTTTTCAGACCCGTTTCGTTATGAGCTGATATATAACCCTAAACCTGATTAATTAGGGTTAATTAATGACTACTTTGAGCAGCTTTTGAGAGAGATTTGTGCATCCTTTGAGGAAGAATTTGTGAGAGATTTTGATAGCTTTGTTTGAGAGTTTTTGGTGAGATTGTAAACTCTATTTGTATTCTCTTTATCTCTAATAGTAAGATAGCTTTGTTTGAGAGTTTTTGGTGAGATTGTAAACTCTATTTGTATTCTCTTTATCTCTAATAGTAAACCCCCCTCCTCCCTCCTTGCCTCGTGGACATAGGCAGCTTGCCGAACCACGTAAATACTGTGGCTTGCATTGTTTGGTGCTTATTTACTTATTGGTTGTGATCTATCTCGTTCTTGTTCGTGCTCTTTCGTGAGTTTCGAGTTCCGGTACGCACAACAAGTGGTATCAGAGCTACATGTTTGGCTTGGGGCTTGTTCAAAGAATTCGCTGAAGAATTCTTATTTGAAGAGTTAGATCGACAACATGGGTGAAGCAAGCCCATCAGGATTGTTTGCGTCAAAAGTTATTTTATTTGTAGAATCTATTGCACGTTTATCGATTACAACAGATTCAAAAGGAGTTAATCTTTTTATAAGATGTTGCGCGCAGCGGAAATTTCGGCAGCACTTCGGCAGCACAACAAGAGAGTCAGGTCGCAATAAGAATTCTCGTCTCACCAAGGAAACAAGAATCTGAAGTGAATATCTCAACAAAGTGAGATATCGGCTCTTCCTCTCATCAGTTCTAGGACTGACTTGTCGAGGGATCCTAAAAGCTATTACAAATCACACAAATAGTAATACAACCAATTTTTACGTGGTTCGGCAAATTGCCTACGTCCACGGGGCAAAGAGGGGGGAGATCTACTATATAATAGAGGGAGAGATTATAACTAGGGTTTACAATCACTCACAATCTAAACCCTCAAACAAACTCTCAGATCCCTCACAATATCTCTCTATAAAAGATGCACAAAAGACTTTGAAAAGCCAACAGCTTCTCAAAGTCAGCCGCCACGAATTCACCTCTGCTCACGAACTCACGCAGCCGCAAAAAACAATCACGCCCTGCAGCCAAAACCTTGCACTCAGCCTCCTTCACACAATCCAACTTCACGAAACCCTAGGCTATTTAAATAGCATTGTTCATGGGCCGCTTCACATGTACCCGAACGAAACCCGAACAAAAAATAAAAACTCTAAGCGGACTCACGTGGGTGTGGACCCCACGAGCAAAGCAGAAACACGTTCACATAAGATATCTCGCTTACACAAATAAAACCAAAATTATAACTTCCTAGAAACACGCAGAGGACGTTTATCACCCGCTACTTACGTGGGATCTTTACCTGTGTCGGGGACGTGTTAGTCCATGCACCGCCACGGATCAGATCCGGTTGACAGAAAAGTGAATTAATGCTATTACTTCACAAAAAAAGTAATCACAGAAGTGATAATCTCAACCAAGCGAGATTACGACTCTTCTCGAGATCAAAACAAAGTTTGATCCGGAGGAAAGGGGGAACGGGCCTCAGATCCTTTGAAAAGCTTCCTCTTTATGTTAAAGCTCGCTAAGATCAGCTAGCCCTTCTCTAAAATTCATGCTCCACTCTTCTGTTTGACAACACCTCGTCCTCTGATTTTAGATTTGGAGAAATGGGCTCCTATGCTTGTATTTATAGGGCTTCGGATGTAGGGTATTTGGATAAGAACAAAAGATTTGGCATTATCTTTAGTTGGCAATGACCTAACCATGTTTAATGATGATATCTAAGCAGTTGGAAGGCTCCTGGAACAAACAAATCCTGAGAAAACATCAAAACATGTGATTTGGGAAGTCGACGTGTGCGGCAGGTCCCG